CGCACACACACGCACGCACACACACGCACGCACACACGCACACACACACACACATATGTATATATATATATACACACACACACACACACACACACACACACATAAATATATAAATATATATGTATAAGCATATGTATGTGTACATACACACACACACACATATATATATATATATATTTATATATATATATATTTACATATATATATATATATATATATATATATATATATATATATATATATATATATATATATATACAATATACTGTATACAGACCACGTGGCAATAGACCCACGTCTGGTTACGCCACGAAGCGTCGCGTCCCCCCCCACGCTACCTAGCCGCGTCACCTACGCACAAGCGGCGTACCCACGCCGCTTGCTACCTAGCCTCGTTCCCACTCGTCTCCCGCCTCGGATACTTAAGCCCGCGTTTCGACCGGTCAAAGCAGAGTGTTCTGTGCCGAGGTGGGTCACACCTGACCCCACGGCCAGGTTGCCGTTTTGTAGGGCTTGCCGTCTGACCTAGGCGCCCTCGCCTTAACTCAAGCCTTGTCATCTCGTGTTTATTCTCTGTGTGCTAGCTCTATCAATAAAGAGTTTTTAGCCACTAAGCCTTTACTACTTCCCTGTCATCAATGTATAGAGGTGTTTATAGTAACCCTTACATTCTGGTAACAGCGGTGGTTGTTGCGTGTCTAGCCAGCTATCCACCCCTTCCCACAGCCTTACATTTTGGTGGCTGCGGTGGTAGTTGCATCCTATTGGCATGCAACCGACAAGCTCCTCCGAAGACAAACCGCTCGGCTTCGAAGAACGCAAGATGACACATCTTCAAGAAAACTGTGAGTACACATTTATGGGCCCCTTTATCTTTCATTTCTTTTCTATTTTTTCCTAAATGTGTAGGCCGTGTACAGCCAGCTCACGTTAGTTTTTGGGTTTAAAGTGCTACTTACAAGCAATGGCATACTCTCATTCTCATTTTCTTGACCTCACTTCTCATTACTGTCAATCGCAGTATGGAGTTAAGCAGTATGAAATCGTTCATTTATTAAGCATCTATTTAATTTTTTTCGTGATTAAAATATTTGTTTCAATTGTAACGAATTTAGCGCGTTCGTGAATTTATTCTTTCACGAACATTCACTCTCATTAAATTCATCTCTCTCCATTTTTCTGTCTTGACCTGACCTCAGCTGAAAGTCGTTAATCAGAGTTCACTTGGGGACAGCTGTCGTGACCTGAGCTCACCTGATGGTCATCCTTCACATAGCTGTGGTGACCTGATCTGACTTTCACTAGGAGTAGTTATCTCAGTAAATGGTGGAGAAAAACAGCTTGCAATTCCCTTTTAATTGTTTGAACTAGTTGTCACAATTTAGGGTTAATGCATAGCAACCGATACATGTTCATGGTGACAAATTCTATCGGCGCTAGAACGGAACTTGTAACGCGACACGTATTATTAAATATAACGTCAAGAGATAGCCTCATACATAGTGTCAGAGTGTCTGAATACTTGGGGTTGCATTTTTATGCGTAATGTACTCGGCGTTAGACGATGATAGTTCCGACAATGATAGTAAGTTAAAGTAACTGAAGTAAATCATACGTTCGGCAAACTTTGAGCTAGGGTGACCGCAATTATGTCCATTAATTTAGGACTAGGATTTAAGTCTGATTTAGGATCCACTTAATTAATCACAAACCGCTCACACTTTTATATGTCTCCGTCATGTTGGGTGAAATCCCATTGGTTCGTGATTCATGATAAATCCCCGCAGGGCATTTCATGAGCGCCCATCATAGATCCGCAGATAGAGTGGGTAATTTATAGATTTTCCCAGCTCGTTTAAGCTTCATAGAATACGGCAATTTGTGGATCACGTCCCCCGTCAAATGAAGTCTGCATAACCGGTAAGACACCTATTTCCTCGGAGAAATTTCCGAGAAGATTTGCTCGCGAAAAGGCTTGCGAATAATTTTCACGTCACCATTCATTAATGCGTCATTTTGTCACATATCATTAATTGTTAAATTCAATATGGTACTTGAAATAATTTTGAATTACGTCTATAAATAATTAGTCGCATTATTGTTAATATGAACTTTATTCAGCCTGTTGGCAACTCTACTGCTATGAGGTCACTCTTACTTCCATTTAACACTCATCAATCACTGTCACTCAAACATGCACACATACTCACTCACTCACCGACGCAGACAAAAGACACTGAAACCTTCATTAATAGGATTTGCTGCTGTCTTAATTGCAGACATACGTATTTGTTGCCGCAATATTGTTAGTCGTGATGCGTGACTTGTACATGATTCGTATTTACATACTTTTCCTTCAGTTTCGACATTGGTTCAAGTAATTCCTTGCGGAATGCCAATTGTCGTTTCCTTTACTTTATAATTTCACGAGATGATGGTAACTCAAGAGGATCCTTGCGGATCGCTACCAACGTCTCCCTCTTCTATTTTCTTCTTTTAG